ACCCCAAGCCAAATGATGCAATGCATGTTATGCTCACAAGGCTCAAAATACAACATGATGCTAAACATGCAAGATATGCCAAATGTTATGCAACAAAACATGGCAAGTATGTAATGTCAACATGCAAGATGCAATTGGGATACAAACATGAACCAATTTGCCATAAAGTTAGCATTAGAATAGCACATTAATGGGACAATCATGCAATCAACATGAAATAAGCATGCAAAGGGGGGCCTCGAAGTGATAAAGGTGCAGACCTTTATTCACCTCAAAACAGCGCCAAGAGTGCTCAAAATGATGGACAAACAACTCATGCCAACATGCAAGCCAATAGACCCGAGGCTAAGGCGCCAAAAGGGCCACTTTACTTCCAACAACAAGACCAAGCTATGGCATGATTAAGACAAGTAAGGACAGATTTCTTTTATGCAAAATGGGACCCCAAAACCTCCTAGTATGGAAGCTAAAGATGACTCCCAAGAGGCATATGCACTAAGGCTCATTCCTAAGCATAAGAGGGTACACCCTCAAGGCATAAAAGAGGCCATGCATGCACAAATACAAACATGATTCTTGGACTAAAATGTGATCCTAGATGAAGTCAAATCATGAGGATGATTACAACCATGCATGCTAGAGGTCAACATGCTCAAAGCTTTTAAGCCAAAATGCAAAGCAACCCTAACAAACATGTCAAGCATGACCAAACGGATAGCCAACAGACTTTAAGCATGGGAAAACAACACTAAAAGCTTCACGGAACTAAGCCAACACACACAAGAATCATGGCCTAATCATGAGATGCACTTCTAAGCAAAATGGAGCAATACAAAGCAAGTATTACAAGCATATAAGGAGGCACAAATCCGACCAAAAACAGAGGTTACATATGATCTAAAACACCTAAAAAACTTCTGAAATGAGGCCAAGAATCATCAAGCACACATGCTACCCTTTTGAGCCCAAAAAGCAAGGAAACAAAACCATGAAGGGAGAGGGGTGTCCCTCCCCTATGCAAGACTTCAAACCATCTTTTTAAACACCAAAAATGAACTGGTTTTTAGTGGTGAAAAGACCAAAATGCTGAAGTGAACAAAGCCTTATCAAAGAGGCACCAAAATGGACCAAACAAGGCCTAGAAGGGTGAGTTTGCACTCAAACCACAAAATGACCTTAATGAAAGTGCTAGAGCAGGAAAATACAAGCCCTTTTTATGTTATACACAAGAGCTAAAACAGCAAGCAAGATAGGTAAAAAACTATTGCAAGTTTGGGGAATATAAATCAAGATGCTCACCCTTGAAGAACCTTTGAAGAACAAATGGTCTAGCCTCCTTCTTTTGATCAAAACCAGTCCAAAAACTCAAGAAACAACCCCCCAAGTCCCTCAATCTCGGAGTAAGGTGTAATGGTGTGTGTAATGGTACAAAAGTAAGGTAAAAACCACATTTTGAGCTAAGAAACACACACAAAGGAGGAGAGAGAGGGAGGTATAGAGATAATATGTATCTATATCTCTAAGGTCTAGTTTTTGGTTGCAAGAGTCTAACCTAGATCAAAGAGGAAGGCCCTCCTCTTATAAGACTCCCTCTTGCAAAGCTTATACAACAAGCTTGCTTAGAGGGAGATCCCTCCATACACGTGTATGGAGGGGGGAAGAGTTGGTGCCAGCTATCACAGCTGGCACAAAATATCTCCATAAAGTGGATGAACAGTGGTCGGCTGCCCAAAAATGTCATTTCGACAAAAAACAGTGCCGACCGGCAACAAATCATGCCGACCGGCAATAAAGTGTGCCGACCGGCAAACAAAAGTGCCGATGGCAGAAAAAGACCAGCCGGTGGCCTCCAGCCACTGCCGGTGGTGTGTGGGGATGTCTCACAAGGCATTCCCTGCCCCTCCAAGGCAAAACACAAGTGTTCGGTGCAAAACTAGACACTAAACGGTCAAGTTCGGAGATCCTGAGGTAGGGCGCGCGAGCCGAGGCTTCCGGGAACTCCAAACGAACACAAACATAGATGATCACTGAGTGTTCAAACGGTGACGTCCAAGTCTTGAGGACGGTCAAAAATGGGGTGTCTACAGTAGTCTATTGGGTCGAACCTTTGATCGGTGCTGCTCTTGCAAGTATCCTATATGACAATGTGGTGTTTTTGGTTCCAGCACCCAGTATAGCAGTTGGAGTTGGGGTTTAATTAAATACAGGAAAATGTTGATTTTATTTTGTTTTCCTTTTTGTAACAAAAATGAAAATATGATATATAATAAAATTATGATCATTTATTGAAAAAGAATTATATAATGAAATTATGATTATCTATATAAGGAAACAGAGATCACCTATATAATGAAACATATTTATTTACTCTGTATTATAGATCTACAAATTCATTTCACATATTTTTACGAATCAACAATTAGGAAATAGAAATGATTAGGAAACAAAAATTAAAATATTTTATGTAATGAAATTATTATCATTTATAGAAACAGGTTTATATAATGAAATTATGAACATCTATATAAGGAAACAGATTTATTGACACTGTATTAATTTTAGCATTTTTAATTAATTTGCAATGAGGTTTCATGACATCATATGTTGTCATGATTTTTTTTTGAAATATTATGTGATATGTGTTGTTTTTTGATTCATTTGATTACAGTGTTATGTGAAGAATTTAAATAGACTTTTATAAAGTTCGTGAACTTTTACTATTTATTATGGTGGTGATTATGATATTCATATAATTATCAATGGACCTCCTGTGGAGTATTATTTCGAAAACTATACTTCATGTGTAAAAATTTTCGATTTTGGTTTAATACAAAACGCATATATTTTAAAATTTGTTGTGTACTGTTTTTACCCGAATGTGTTCTTGAATATGATTCTACTCATCTTGAATTGTTATTGCAATCCATCTAATATTATTTAATTCGCTATTGCCGAAATGATTAGGAAACAATAATTACAAAACAACAATCTATCTAATCTTGTTTTATTCACTATTGCGGAATTGTTATTACAATCTATCTAATCTTGTTTTACGAATCAACAATTAGGAAACAGAAATGATTCAAAAACAGAAATTAAAATATTCTTTATATTGAAATTATGATCATTTATTCAAACAGATTTGTATAATGAAATTATGATCATCTATATAAGGAAACAGAGATCATCTATATATTGAAACATATTGACTAAGTTGTGTCTTCTATCTCATATCAGGCAATGGCATCGCCAAATTCCCGTCTTGAGCACGCGGTGAAGCCCAATGCTCTCAGATCATACCTCGTCGAATTCATCTCCACCTTCCTCTTCGTCTTTGCCATAGTTGGCTCCGCCATGTCTTCTTGGAGGATAATGCCGAATGCTGCAACAGATCCATCTGCGTTGGTAGCGGTCGCCATAGCGAATGCGTTGCATTGTCGGTGGCGGTTTACGCAACAGCTAACATGTCCAGCGACCACGTTCGGGATGGCGGTTAGCCGTCATATTAGTGTTCCTATGGCTATTTTTTTACTGGATTTCACAGTTGGTTGGGTCTGTAATGGCTTGTCGTTTCTTAAAAGTTACCACTGTTGCACAGCATGTACCTGTCCATGGAATACCACAAGAAATGACTGGGTTCGGAGCATCCATTTTGGAATGGGCGATGACATTTGGTTTGGTCTACATGGTCTATGTGGCCAGGGACCCGAGATGTGGTCCATTGGGAGCAATTGGACCCTTAGCAGTTGAGTTCATTGTAGGAGCCACTTATATTGGCATCTGGGCCATTTATGGGTGGGTCAATGAACGCGGCTTACTCCTTCGAGTTTGCTCTTGTAGGAGCGAGTTTCAAGAACCATGTAGTCTATTGGGTCGGACCTTTGATCGGTGCTGCTCTTGCTGGTATCCTATATGATAATGTGATCTTTTCGGTTCCAGCACCCAGCATAGCAGATGGAGTTGGGGTTTAATTAAATACAGGAAAATGTTGATTTTATTATATTTTCATTTTTGTAACAAAAATTAAAATATTATATATAATAAAATTACGATCATCTATTGAAACAGATTTATATAATGAAATTATGATTATCTATATAAGGAAACAGAGATCATCTATATAATGAAACATAGTTATTTACTTTGTATTATAGATCTACAAATTTATTTCACAGATTTTTATGAATCAACAATTAGCAAACAAAAATGATTAGGAAACATAAATTAAAATATTCTATACAATGAAATTATTATAATTTTTAGAAACAGGTTTATATAATGAAATTATGAACATCTATAAAAGGAAACAAATTTATTGACACTGTATTAATTTTAGCATTTTTAAGTTTTATGACATTATCTGTTGTCATGAATTTTTTTTTTGAAATATTATGTGATATGTGTTATTTTTTTATTCATTTGATTACAGTGTTATGTCAAGAATTTAAATAGACTTTTATAAAGTTTGTGAACTTTTAATATTTATTATGGTGGTGATTATGATATTCATATAATTATCAACGGACCTCTTGTGTAATATTATTTCGAAAACTATTTTTCATGTGTAAAAATTCTCGATTTTGGTTTAATACAAAATGCATATATTTAAAATTTATTGTGTACTGTTTTTACCCGAATGTGTGTTTGAATATGATTCTACTCATCTTGAATTGTTATTACAATCTATCTAATATTATTTAATTCGCTATTGCCGAAATGATTAGGAAACAATAATTGGAAAACAACAATCTATCTAATCTTGTTTTATTCACTATTACGGAATTGTTATTACAATCTATCTAATCTTGTTTTACAAATCAACAATTAGGAAGCAGAAATGATTGGAAAACAGAAATTAAAATATTCTTTATAATGAAATTATGATCATTTATTCAAACAGATTTGTGTAATGAAATTATGATCATCTATATAAGCAAAAAGAGATCACCTATCTATTGAAACATATTGACTAAGTCGTGTCTTTTGTCTCGTATCAAGCAATGGCGTCACCAAATTCCCATCTCGAGCACGCGGTGAAGCCCAATGCTCTCAGATCATACCTCGTCGAATTCATCTCCACCTTCCTCTTCGTCTTTGCTGCAGTTGGCTCCACCATGTCTTCTGGGAGGAGGATGCTGAATACTGCAACAGATCTATCTGCGCTTGTAGCGGTTGTAGTAGCAAATGGGTTCCCATTGTCGGTGACGGTTCATGCAATGGCTAATATCTCTAGCGGCCAAGTGAACCCAGCGGCCACATTCGGGATGGCAATTAGCAGTCACATTAGTGTTCCAATGGCTATTTTATACTCGATTTCACAGTTGGTTGGGTCTGTAATGGCTTGTCTTTTCTTAAAAGTTATCACCATCGCACAGCATGTACCTCTCCGTAGAATGCCACAAGAAATGACTGGGTTCGGAGCATCCATTTTGGAAGGGCTGATGACATTTGGTTTGGTCTACACAATCTATGTAGTCAGGGACCCAAGACGTGGTCCATTGGGAGCAATTGGACCCTTAGGAATCGGGTTCATTATTCTAACGCCCCGAAATAAACCAACCATGAATAATACATAACCACATACATTCACTAATTACAACCATTCTCCATTCTCTATAGCAAGATCTCCATGGTTTATACAAGAGTTCCAAATGCAAATATACATTCAATGTTAAGAAAATACCTGAATCCATAGCATGTGAAACATATAGTCTCAAAAAAAATAAAGATAAAATAAGAGAAACGCCCTTACGGACTTACATCTTCCAAGGCAATAGCCCGGTTACACAAAATGGCCTCTCGGACCCATACCAATGTGGCCCTAGGTTTTACAAAAATTATGACAAAAGAAAGAGTGATCCACTCTTCACCAAAACATATCCACACCCTTAGCTCAGCGAGATCACAACATCTCTACCTGTACCAAATCCCATAGGGGTGAGCATAAAACCCAATAGAGAATTCTCACAAAGTATATATAGTTATGCAACTCCAATTAAAAATGCAAATTTCAATGCTATGCCATGCACTTTTAAAGATTACCATCTTTCAATAAAATTTGCAATCTCAACTTACTTCAAAACTTCCAATTTTAATCAATAAGGGTGGTAAATACGACACTGGTAATCCCTAGGCTAGTGTCTTCAAGTAGACTCTACAAGTACTACCAAATCGTCATTTTTACCGGTATTAACCGGAAGGCTCGACACCTATCCACGCGGCTTTCTGGTCTTTCACCAAGGACACTCTGGCCAACTTATTAAGTTCAACTACACCCCCTATCCAGACTTACCACGTATTTACCCCATGTATATGATCATAATTCTCATTGGAAAATAATCCTTCTCAAGTAAACATGATGAGAATGCAACAATGGTAATAATTCACTTCATGCACACTAACGATAATAAGTCAAGTGAAAATGAGATGTAATAATTAATATCTCATAATAGTTCTCTATTTTCAAAATGTCTTAATAACAATAATAAACAATTTCCTTTCTCATTTTCACAAATACGTTTCTCATTTCGCAAAATGATCATGTGTCATCAACACACCACCACAATTTCTCAACAATAATTCATCATGACCAAACCTTTCAATATGTTCAGCATGTCATCTTTCATTTCATTTCCCATTACATTAATATTAAACATTTTTACATCATCTATGGCACTCAACAACTTGCCATCTTACAACTCTACACGTATATACATTTATCAATGTACTTTCAAGAAGTTGCTATTTGCAACTACATCATAAAATCAATATTCATTCACCCTTTAATCACAAGAAAAGAAGAACTTCCTGTAACAATTCTACATTTTAAGAAAATCCCCAATTTCTAGGGTTTTTATCACAAACTCAACATTTCTTCACTTCATGATGAGAACCCAATCAAAATCATGTTGTTCTTAAATTTTGTAAAAGAACATCCTTGTGGATAGGAAAATGATGAAGATCAAACCCATTTTCTTCAAACTTCCTCAACATTTGGAGTAAAACCCAAAATCAACACAACTAGTTCAGGAAGGCTTTTAAATCATCATAAATCTTACATAACATGTATATATAACTTAAGAAATCCCTACCTCAAGGTGTTGATGATGAAGAGAAGATGGAACCCTAGCTTTTGATGGAAGATCCTTCAATCTCTACCACACCAAGAGTGACACTAGCTCTAGATCTTCAAGATTTAGAGGAAGATGTTGATGATCTTGACTCAAGATTTGCAAGAATCCAAATGTTTTAGGTGTTTGAGGGAGTTTTCTAGAGAGAAGGGAGAGAAAAATAAGGTTTAGAGTGAGAGAGAGATCACCAAAATGAGAGATATATTCGGACCAAAAAGATACAAAAAATAGAGTTTCGGACTACCCAGTTGGCCGCTCGTGCGGCCCACCTCCATCGCTCGTGTGGCCCACTTACCCCGCTCATGCGTCGATTTCATAATGCAAAATTCTGGGTGCCAGCCTCCACTGCTCAAGTGGCCCCTCATGCCGCTCATGCGGCCCAACTCTGCATGTGCGGCCTAGGGCCCCGCAATTGCGGCCCTGGCCCAGCAACCCAAAATTTCCATTTCGCTCCCAAGCACCCCAGACTCACTCGCGCACCTTTCAGAACAACCGAGATTCAACACCGACCGAAAAAGAAATAGAGCTCTAATCTAAAAACCATTCCAAACATTCAAACCCAACGAAGGTAAACGGGAAACGAAGCGAAGAAAGAAATGGAAAAAGAGAGCCAATCGTCACTATTGTAGGAGCCAATGTATTAGCATCCGGGCCATTTGCGGACGGGTCAATGAACTTGACTTACTCGTTCGGGTGTGCTCTTGTTGGAGCGAGTTTCAAGAACCATATAGTCTATTGGGTCGGACCTTTGATCAGTGCTGCTCTTGCTAGTATCCTATATAATAATGTGGTCTTTTCGGTCCAAGTATTCGGCATAACAGATGGAGTTGGGGTTTAATTAAATGCAGGACGCACCGCATGCGAGAGGAGAAAAGGTATGAAAGAACACCGGAACTCATCCGAGTGTTCGAAACAGAAGATGTCCTAACACACCGCATACGAGAGGAGAAAAGGTATGAAGGAACACGGGAACTCATCCGAGTGTTCTAAACCGAAGATGTCCTAACGCACCGCATGCGAGAGGAGAAAAGGTATGAACGAACACCGGAACTCATCAGAGTGTTCGAAACCGAAGATGTCCAAACGCACCCCATGCGAGAGGAGAAAATCTATGAAGGAACACCGGAACTCATCCGAGTGTTCAAAATCGAAGATGGCCAAACGCACGACATGCGAGAGGAGAAAAGGTATGAATGAACACCGGAACTCATCCGAGTGTTAGAAACCGAAGATGTCCTAACGCACCGTATGCAAGAGGGGAAATGGTATGAAAGAACACTGGAACTCATACGAGTGTTCGAAACCGAAGATCTCCTATCGCACCGCTTGCGAGAGTAGAAAAGGTTTGAAAGAACACCGGAACTCATCCGACTGTTCGAAACCGAAGATGTCCTAACGCACCGCTTGCGAGGGGAGAAAAGTTATGAATGAAGGCCGGAACTCATCCGAGTGTTCGAAAGCGAAGATGTCCTAACGCACCGCATGGGAGAGGAGAAAAGGTATGAAAGAACACCGGAACTCATCCGAGTGTTCGAAACTGCAGCTGTCGTAACACACCGCATACGAGAGGAGAAAAGGTATGAATGAACACCGGAACTCATCCGAGTGTTCGAAACCGAAGATGTCCTAACGCAACGCATGCGAGAGGAGAAAAGGTACGAAAAAATACCGGAACTCATCCGAGTGTTTGAAACCGAAGATGTCCTTACGCACCCCATGCGAGAGAAGAAAAGCTATGAAGGAACACCG